TGCTTTTGGCAGCGAACACAACACCTCCGAGCGTAAGTTGTATTCATTTATTTATTTACTCCATCTCAAACAGAGATTTTCATTATATGTTTTTCAATCTTAGATCTAACGATAGTATTTAAAATAACGAAGTGTTTAAAATAAAAACATATTCGGTTTCGTTGTATTTTTCCTATTCTTAAAAAAAAAAAAATGGTTGTTTTTAAATGTATTCATTACCTTTAAAAATGGAAAAAAGAAAAAAATTGCATTAATATCCATTGAAAAAAATTATTAATCTGTAATGATATTAAATTAAAGATTTATTTATAATTTACAGTTGAGCGGTACGGTGTATAGTAGCGGAGGAAGTAGCAGCAGTATTTGGAGCCCTGCTGTTACGGAAAATGGTGGATTTACGGGCGACCATCAAAGGTTAGCGTGGACAACAACAGCGTCCCAACAACAATGCTACCAAAATTACTCTTCGTATTATACAAATATGGAGTACTTATCTCCCGCGTCGCATCAATTGAACGTTGTGGTGAGTTAATCTCGGAGGAATAGGAACGAAATCGTTTTAAACTTATTTAAGTAACGTTAAGATGAATTATTCCCTTAACTTGTAAAGTTTCTTTTCTAATTTTTTTTCCTCCTTTTTTTTCTTTTTTTTTTCTTTTTTTTTTTTTAATTAGGACGGAAGCGCGAGTGGATTGGACAATTCGTGGAGCAAAACAAGAGACGAGAGCGCCTCGTCATGGTTTTACAACAGTGCCGGCTGGGGTGACCGAAAGTGAACACAACGGAGTGATAAATAGAGAAATAAAAATAAGACGAAACCAAAAAAAGAAAAAGAACAAAAAAAAAAAAAGAAAAAAACACAAAAAAGCAGTAAGAGGAAAAAAAAAAGAAAAAAAAAACGGGAAAAAAGTAAATAAAAGAAAACAGAACATAACGAAACAAAACAAAATAAAGATAAGACAAACAAAACAAGGAAAAAACGAAACAATACAAAAGAAAATAGCGTCCCTCAAAAATGTCAACGGCTGGGTACATATCATCGACAATAGAAAACATCTTATTCTTTCGGAATCATCCTATTTGTGCGAGAACAATGACGATGGGTCAACGTACGAAAAAAAAACAAAAATATAATCAAAAAATTAAAGAAAAAAAAAACATATAACAGAGAAACAGAGACAAAAAATATTTTTCTGGACGATGAAACGATGTCGTCGATTGGTCCGCGTTTATGACAATTCTATCGGAGACATATCGATCGATACGCGAACCTCACTAGATAATATTACTATTACCATTATCTTTATAATTGTCATTATCATTATCATTATTACTATTATTATTACAAATATTATTCTCATTATTATTATTATTATTATTATTATTATTATTATTATTATTATTATTATTATTATTATTACTAGTATTATTATCATTATCATTATTATTATTATTATTATTATTATTATTATTATTACCAATTATTATATTGTTAATGATTATGATGCTAATTTCGGCGAGAATCGAATTTATTCATTTCATGAGATACGTCGTGAGTACGTACGTGTACAATAGGATAATATAGCTATATAGCTATTGATTAGGTTTACAAATGCGGATACTCAGAAAATGAGAGAAAGAATGAGAGAAAGAATGAGAGCGAGAGAGAAAGAGAGAGAGAGAGAGAGAGAGAGAGAAAAGAAAGAAAGAGAGAGAGAGAATGTTTACGTACGTACGTGTGTGTGTGTGTGTATACATGTACATGAAATTATATATACTTATACATATAAGGTGATCGATTTAAATAATGTAATTTAAATATTTCGTTGAATTGTGACGATGAAAGAGATATTTTGCACATAAATCTAAAGATATCAAAGGATCAATCTAAGCCAAGAATATTATTTTTATTGAAAAGGTTCATTTGTTTTCTAAATTTTCAAAACTATCAATGTATTTTATATTAATGTTTTATCTCTGCGTTTTCACTAAATTATAAATTTTATGTAAAAGATTGTTTTTCGAAGATCAAGATCATTTCAACATCGTATTATCATACATATTCGAATGTATTTTTTGATCAGCTACAATATACGATAAAATATATAGGTTTAGTTTTATGCAAAAAAATAAAAAAAAGACATTGATGAGATTTTGAAAGTTCCGAAAAAAAAGAAAGAATTATCTTAGAAAATGTATTCATAATATACGTTGTTTTTTTGCATATCGTTTGCTCTATGTAAAAAATATTTTTTTCATCGACACAGTTAGGAGATATTTCGTAGAAAGATCTTGAAGTCTCACTTAAATGAATCACCCTATATACGTACGTACGTGTATTCGCATCAAAAGGATATCTCTTTGTTGATTGACCTTCAAAATCGATTCTCAGTGCTGCTAGTCATCGTGAGCATATTAACGTTTAATTTGGAACGAGGGATGTGATTTAAGGTTAGGTTAGTATCATTATTATTTGATAAAAAACGAGAGCAATACATACTTCTCTTTTCTTCTTTAGTTGTTTGTTTTTAATTCGAGCACATGACCAAAAGAATAGCATATGAAAGAAATCTTGTTTGCCAGTTGATTTTTTTTCTTCCTTTTCTTCCGTAATTCCTTATCAAAAGTCCTTATCCACATTGTTATGATCTATGTACATACGTAAATACTTGAAACATTGAAAAGAATAGAAAAGAAATGAAATGAAATGAAATGAAACGAAACGAAATGAAATGAAATTAAATGAAATGAAATGAAATGAAATAAAATGAAAAGATATGAAAAGAAAAACAACAAAACAAAAGAAATGAAAGAAAGTTTTTTAAATTTGTTTGAACGTACCTTAATATAAATTTGAGGTTACCTACTGCACGAAAAATTGACAACGCTATCGATCCGAAGAACAACACGTTTTAACATATTGTACATAATATATTATATAAATAGTATGTTCGATGATACTCAGAAGGGATTAATTAATTATTTAATAACTAGTCGTACCAGTTGAAAAAAGTGTTCGAAGAAAGATAAAAAGAGAAAGGCCTTTCGCGTTTTCGCGGATATTCTCAAACATGTGTGTGCGATGAATATGAATGTAATGTATGAATGTGTGTATATACGATGTGAGCGTATGTGTACTTACGTATTTTCTCGAAGGGACGACACACGTTTCAAATTAACGTTTGAACGGAACGTATCGTTGAGCGCCATCTGAACTGTACATATGAAATTATATATAAGAATATACATCGAATATCTATGTACATATGTATTATTTTGCAGGTTGAATAATCTGTGCTAATTACCTTAAAAGTGAAAAAAAAAGAAAAAAAGACAGAGAGAGAAAGAAAGAGAGAGAGAGAGAGAGGGAGAGAGAGAGAGAGATAGGATTATAATAATGGTTTATCGTACTTCTCAAAGCGAGTCCAAAGTTTCGTCGTGAAAAAGTATGAAAATGATAAATACTGTTTCTTCTTCTTCTTCTTCTTCTTCTTCTTCTTCTTCTTCTTCTTCCTCTTCTTTATCGATGTTAAAAGAGTTTTCAGATATGTACTTTACGCTAACGTAATTAATCGGTGAGGATCGAGATTCGACGAACGAATCGAGAAGAACGTATTTATTATTTTTGACAATCATTACCATCGTAATAGTATTGTAAGCATGCGATATAAACCAAACGTTTAGTTTTTCTTCTTCGATGTTTATATATTTATTTTCATTCATAATATTAACGTTAAAAAAAATGTTTTTCTTGTCATATCCAACGTTCGTCTATAGTAAAGATCCTCTCGTACGTTACGTACGATCGTTCATTTTTCCTCGTACTATTTTGAGATTAATTTTGTTCCACGTCGATAAGTTTATCGGTCGATAAGTTTACCAATCAATAAAAAATTTTCTCATTTTAATAAAAAAGTATCAAGCACGTACGATAAACCTTAATGATTTTCACAACGTGCAAATCAATTTTAATGTAAGCTAGCAGAAAATTGAGGATTAATATGTAAAATATAAAAAAAAACTATGTACATATATATATATATATATACATACACATATTTATGTATATGTATATATATGTATATATATATATATACGGTTACTATAGGATTGTAAGTACCTATGTGACTGTTAGAACGTTGTTACATAAAATATTATACGTAATGATACGAATAAGAAAGGAACAACGATGAACATGTCTTAAAATGTATGAAAATAATATATCGAATTTGAATTGTAAATCCTATTGATTTTCTCTCTTGTATATTGTTTATCTTTACTTTGAATTTCAATCAAAACAGTTCAATTGTATTCCTTTCATAACCGGTAATATTTATAAACGTTGTATTCGTACGATAGCAAGAAAACAAATGTCAATATTTTCACTCGAATAACATTATTATGTAGGTATAACAGGAATCTCTCTTGTTCATTTTATAACGACTTATCATCGAAGAGTAATAGAATATACGTGAAACATTACCGACGATATTCCGATTATCTCGTTATTGTCAGTTATTTATAGATGTGAAAAAGAACAAAAAGAAAAAAAAAAGAATAGAGGTGATAAGAAAAATATCGTAGAAAATAATTTCTTTTATTGATATGGATAGGTCAAACTTATCGATCGAAACGAAAACGTAAGATTGTCTCTTCTTTATCGACGATGAAAAGAAAGGGAAAGAGAAATAAAGAGAAACAAAGAGAACAGAGACAGAAAGAAAGAGAGAGAGAGAGAAAGAGAGAAAGAGTAAAGATTGCGTCAGTCCGAAGCGACGCCAAGCGGCAGTCGGGAAAGTTTCGAGCTCATAAAACAAAGAGAGAGAGAAAGAGAGAGAGTATGCAGCAGCAGTATCACATACGACGGTGGTGGGGGAAGGCACATCGAGGGTCGCATATCGCGAGGGGTCGCGTCAAGTTGGCGTGGGTCACCGGCCGCAGTACCGCGCGTCGCTTCGTCTCGTTCGATTCGTTTCCCTTTCGTTCTAGTCGTCTCGTCC